TTAGTAATAAATTACGCACATACACAAAATGTAACAATTACAAATTGTATGCAGCTAATGGTACAACTATGGAAACGTATGGCGTCAAAAGTTTGACCTTAAACTTAGTTTAAGATGGGCATTTAGGTGGTCTTTTGTAGGCACTAACGTACGACAACCAATATTAGGGGTAGATTTTCTGAGTCACCATGGTCTTTTGGTAGATAGAAAATTTCGAAGATTAATTGACAAGGAAACTAATTCAAACGGTATGCCTCAATAGTTAGCTGCAAGAAACACTCAAATAAAACTGTCCACAGCGACCATTAATTCACAGAATTATTACATAAGTATTCTAATATTACGAGACCACACGATACGACATCACACCACATAGAGACGACGGGTGCATGTGCATGCTAAGGCTCGCTCATTGCCAGCTGATAAATATAAAAAGTAAAAGAAGAATTTAGGATAATACAAGAAATGGGAATATGCAGGCCTTCTAAAAGTGCTTGGTTGCCTACTATATGTGGTGTTAAAGAAAAACGGTGATTTGTGACCCTGCGGAGACTATAGTAAGTTAAATGCAATTACTAAATCGGATCGATATTGGATACCTAAAATTCATGATTTCACCTACATACTAGCTAATAGAAAGATATTTTCGCAAATTGATGTAAATAGAGCGTTCCAGTGTATATCAATTAACCTGGCAGATATTGAAAAAAAAAGCAATAACTACCATTTGGTTTATTCAAATTTCCCTGCATGACGATTGGACTTTGTAACGCGGTACGAACTTTTCAAAGATTAATGGACCAAACGGATTTAAAAAGCTTAGACAGTGTTTTCTGTTATATTGATGACGTAATCATTGCTAGTTCTAAGACTTAAATCTATAGACCGTACTTTGACTTTGCTCAGACTTTACTTTCGACCTATGATAATGTCAGTATTTATAGAGCTAACTTCGGAGTCGTGCTGAGTGCGGGCTTAGCGAAACCTAAGTCATTGATATCGATGACTTACGTAAAACGCAGGCTATTATGCAAAATCACCATATTAATTTTAAATTGTTGTTTTTATGTTATTCTAATTAATTAAAACAATAAATAGGTAGTTTTAGGCCGTCTTCTAGTTTTAAATAGCATTGATCAGTAGATATTTCATTCATATCTCCTACGTGTAATGTAGTCATAGCAGCTCATGAATTTTTCAACATATTATCATCGGCTGTAAAAAATAACACAACAAAAATTAAGCTACCTAGATCTAGACGTACTTTTAAAGCATGGATGACGCCTGGCTTGATCAAATGCATCCGCCACCGTGATAAACTATACTAAAATGTTAAAAAACCCTGATAATGAGATACTAGAAATTTCTTACAAACGGTACATAAATTTTTGTAATTCATTGTTGGGAAAGCTCAGGCGCCAACATGAAACACATCTTTTAAAGGGTGCCAAAAACAGTAAAGAAACTTGGTCTGTCATTAAATCTATCTCGGAACGTAATAATATAAATAATTACGCTGATAATCTAATAAGGGAAAATCCTACGGTTTCAGTTGAGAGAGCGAACCATTATTTTTCTAATCTCGGTAAAAAATTAGCAAATAAAATAATCGAGTTCAGTAACGTACAGTTACAAGTTCAACCCACAGATCTCTTAACTCTTTTGTGCTCGATCCACCTGACGAGACAGAGGTGTTAAGTCTTAAAAATGATTGTGCTATTGGGTGGAATAAAAGATATAATTATATTACCGCTTACCAATCTCTTTAAATTTGTTTTGAACAAGGATGCTTTCCAAAGGTGTTCAAAAGGTCTCTCATTACTACTGTATACAAGAGTGAAGCTCGAGACAGTGTCGAAAACTACAGACCTATCTCTGTGCTGGCAGCTCTTTCGAAAATATTGGAAAGGCTGTGGAATAACCGTTTGGTAAAATTCCTGACCAAATAAAATATTCTATCAGGCTCGCAATTGGGTTTCAGAACGGGTAATTGCACAGAAGATGCGGTAAAAGGCTTGACAGAATTTGTAACCTATAAGTTGGACAAAAAAATATTTGGATGTTTTTCTTGATTTAGCAAAAGCTTTTGACACCGTCTCAATGCCCATTCTTGTACACAAATTGGAAAATATCGGAACTAGAAATTCAGCTCTTTCTATTTTTAAAAGCTTCTTAAGTCACCGAGTACAGAATGTTAAGATTAAAAATATCATCAGTTCTGATACTAGTGTCACTTTTGGTGTCCCTGGCTGGCCAAGTCTCTTTTTAATTTATATTAATGACCTTTGTCGTATGCCGTTAATACATGGCAAATTATTCACTTATGCCGATAATACGGCTATAATATTTTATGGAGAGGGCTGACGTTCAGGTGATTGCTGAAAGGGGTCTTCAATGTGTGACACAATGGCTTGAGGACAGTTTACTAACACTAAACGTATCTAAATCAAGGTACTTACAATTCCGTATTACCAATACTCCAGCTGTTGAGGATATTGAACTGAAGGTACATTTTTGTGATCTAAAGTCAACAGAAAAATGCTCTTGCCTTAATATAACTAGATCTAAAACTGTAAAATATCTCGGTGTGTTGTTAGACGAAAAACTTAAACTTATTTATTGCGCCAGTATACTTTACTTTAGCACAATCAATTATAGGCTATTGCATAAGTGTCTGGGGAGGATCGTGCAAAAGTTTTTTATTTAAGCTCGAAAAAGCACAAAGATGTTTAATAAAAACTATGACTTTTAAACCATATAGATACTCAACAAAATTATTATACAGCGAATTCAAGTTGCTGTCTCTCAGATAATTATACGTTCAAAATTTGATCACCAAGCAACACGATCGCACTCCGTACGACCCTGAGATCTGTCGTAAAAAACGTGGAATACCCAACGTATTGACACCGTTTAGATGCCGCACTGTTTTTGCTAGGCGACAAAGCGCATATCTCTCTATAGTACTCTATAACAAACTTAACAAAATTCTAAAATTCTATCCTCTTTCAAAACACGAGTGTAAAATTAGAGTTCGTGATTGGTTGTTATCCTTAGATTACAATAATATAGAAAATTTATTAATTTAATTTCATTTATTAATTTAATTCATAGTTTCAAAATAAATAAATAAATAAACAAAAACAGGGAAGTGATTAATGTGTGGACAATTAATGTTAACGTTTCGTTTATGTTAATGCATTATTTATATATGAACTTTAATATTTATGTATATGTATGTATGTATATATATATATATATATATATATATATATATATATATATATATATATACATATATATATATATTTATTATATTACAATTTTTATTATTTTTTGATTTAGTTTTGCAAATTTGTTAAATTTGTAAAGTTGTTTACTTTTCTTTTGTTTCTACTAAAACAATGAAAACATGTATTGTCCTTTTAGTATTACCTGTGTAACAACTCTGGGAGAGGCCGCTGATTTAGAGTTTAGGAGTCAGAGACTTCATAATATTTCTTGTGATTTAGTTTTGATAATAAAGAATTATTAATATTATTATATTAATCAAATTTCTATTTACGGAATTTCAATCTTATTTCAAATTTATTAAAATCTTATTTTTTCTTTTTTTCTGACTTTGCACTCATCTCGTCCTCTCCCGTTCTCATAGGACCGTTTTCTATTTCATGTAATAATAAATAATTTATGAAATACAATTTGGACTTTTTTCGATTTTAAATATATATATTTTAGGCTTTGAAGTATTTACATAAGGCATAAAGAGAAAGTAGAGGCAATTTCTATTTTTCCCAAACCTAATACAATAGAAGAATTAAGACGTTGCTTTGGCATGATAAACTTTTATAAGATCCATATAGCGGATGGGGTCAAGACTCAATCAATATTAGGCAAATATTTAAAAGGTGCTAGAAAGAGGGACATAACACTCATACAATGGTCAACAAAAGCCGACCAAGCATTCTAGTAATGTAAAAATGCATACAAAACGCGGTGACGTTATCGTATCCGTTGCCTAATAAAACGCTGGAACACATGACTGACGCATCAAATTTATACGTAGGGGCAGGGTTGCAACAATTTTTTAACAATAAATGGATACCTATCGGCGATTTTACTAGGACAATGAGTAACATTTAACAAAAGTAATCACATTACGATAGATAATTATTGGCAATTTACTTAGCTATTAAATACTTTCAGAACCTTGTTGAAGACAGGAAACTACTGACCTTTGCATTTACGAAAAGTAACAACGGTAAAAAACTACCTAGAAGGATAGCTAACATATATCAGCGAATTATATCAACAGACATAAAACACATACAAGGTTCCGAGAATCCAGTAGCTGACGCGTTATCACGGGTAAAAATATTGTATTACCCTGAAATAATCGATTACATAGTTTTAGCTGAGGCTGACTTCGGCGACAATTATGTAAAAAAACTAGATGAGAACACGAACATTAAAATAAAAAAATAGATGTACCACAAACAAACGGGAAATCAATTTTTTGTGACATATCACCTGGTAATGCAAGTTTTAGAAGTTTTTTTTCCCTGAAAGTTTTAGACGAAAGACATTTGAATCAATACACAACTTCAGCCACCCTGGCATTCGCGCCACACGTAAATTAATTCAAAGTAAATTCTTTTGGGCTAACATGATAAAGGGCAATGGGCTAAGATATATTTACAACGCCAACGCAGCAAAGTAATTCGTCGTACAAATTCAGAATTAGAAGATTTTTCAAATTGTAATCGATTCGAACATAATCATGTTGACATTGTGGACCCACTAACAACAATGGAAGACGGGTTTATATATTTATTGACAATCATCGACAGGCGAACACGATGACCGGAAGCATTTCCTATCAAGGACGTAACTGCTGAAATTGTAGCTAAGATAATTTATGGAGGATGGATTGATCGTTTTGGGTACCCAGTAAAAATAATTTGCGACCAAGGTAAAGTTAGTTTGAAAGGGCCCTGTTCATGTCCCTGCTAAAAGTTTTAGGAATTCATAAATGCAGGACAACCCCATACCACCCACAATCCAATGGTGCATTGGACAGATGGCATATATGTTTAAAAGTAGCTTTAACCGCTAGACTAAACGCAAACACATCATCTTGGGTAATCAAGTTACCAACAGTAATGTTAGGCCTTACATCAGAAAAACGCACGGACAATGGCATGAGCGCGGCGGAAGTGGTATATGGTCATACTGTACGCTTACCAGCGAATTTTTATGTAAGCGATAATCAAAGTAATTATAACTTCGACTATCAGTGTGTCAATAAAATACGTCAATCTTGATTAACAATTTGAAGCCATTTACAACACGATATAATAATACTAAAATTTTGTTTGTCCACCCAGACCTATCAACGACGGAGTTTGTTTTTATGAGGCATGATATAGTCAGGAAATCACTGCAACCTAATTATGACGACCCTTTTGGAGTAATTAAACGAAACAAGAAAATATTTACAGCACAGTTGAGTAAAGGACAAATTAACATTTCAATAGATAGACTAAAACCGGCTTATATGATAAATCAAGAGGTACTAAAAAGTAGTAACAATAATAATAAAAACATTCATATCGTATCACCGGTACCACACACCACTAGTTGCAGACAAGTCAGAAAAAAAACCGGTAAGATTCTTATAATCATTAGTCGTAATCAGAACGTTCATATATTAAAATAGATTAAAATAGTCTCATTGTTTAATTTTTATTATATCCGTCAACGAGATGTATCAAAATTAAAAATTAAAATGGGAAATTTTGTAACCCCAGCTAGTCTACATGAACAAATTACCCTGGCACAAGTGAAAGTCATTACAAATTAATCGGAAGGCGCTGACAAGTTGGATAAGTTCGTTCTTGTAATCCTACCTATACTAGGAGTGATAACAGTGCTGACTTATATTGCGCAGTTTCCAAATGCCGAACTAACATCAAGGAATACACAAACAAGTTACGCGCAGCGTTAAAACAACATACAGGAACAACGACTGGCATCACAAGTCGTCATCGAGTAGACAAACAGCAACAAAAAGGAGAGAAGAATACGGAAAGACCATAGTGATGTCCATCCAGTCTGTAATTATAAGGCGTTGTCATTTCATTTTTTTTATAGGAGAGTAGCCCGTTATGGCTTACGTTGCAAATATTATATACGTGGTAGAGCCATGCTGCAGCTATATTAGTCGTATAGTTGTAGCACGAATGGGTCGGCTCGACTGGGGAAGGACCACGCTCTCACAGAATACCAGCGTCAAATAGCAGGTTCATGCTGCTGTGTTTCGTATGGTGAGTGTAAAGAACCGGACACCCTTTTTACTGGAAAATAGGCATTCTATCTTAGTCCTCACTGGTGACAACGCATCTGCATTTTGATTCGCAAACGAGGATAAATGTAGATGTCTATGGGCCACAGCAACCACTTATCATCAGGTGGACTGTGTGCTCGTTTGTCACCCTATCCTATAAAAAAATACTTTTTAATGGTAGGACACCAAGTAGGCAGTTAGCCCCTCACCTTGGACCAAATAGGTACTTGTAACTATGAGGAAATAAATGCAGTAATATTCGTACAGATTTTGTGTCATTTATCACTTACACCTATAGGCCACTAATAGAGCTAATTCACAATTCAAAACATTATAAACTTTTGTTATAGGTAGCCTTATTTTATACCAAATTCATAAGAAAAGTTCAATTATAATACTATTCTAAAAAACCATTATGACGTGGTTAAAACACGTTTTATCAACTGACTTTGACCTTATACAATGAACTACTACAAAATAAATAAATATCTAATTCAGTCTCTTCTACAGATGATGAAATATAAACATCATTAGTCGCACTTTGTTTGTCTTTTATCATTGCAGTAATCTGAGAGAGTTTGGGACGTTTTGCAAAATCCAGATCGAGAGGATGATTGAAAAATCCGCATGTTACGGAGGTTGACGGAAGGCATATTATAGTTAAGGCTTCGCCAAATAGCGTAAGTGATTTTTTTTGTATTTTTTCAATACTACGCCAGTGACTGAACAAGCGCTGACTTGGTGGTTTAGATAAGGTCAACAACGCTGGCGCAGATGGCGGGAGGAGTGGACTGACTTCAATATATTCAAGCAGGAATATTGAAGTCAGCCAATTTAAATTATGCCAGTAGCAGGTCAGCACTGACTTGCCTCGAATTCGGAGACAGTTACTGTCCCTGTATAAATCAGCCAAAACACCGTTAGAATTAAACTATATTTCAATCGGAAAATAAGCTGTATGAGTAGTTATGTTATGTTGCTTATCACGCTTACCGCACAAAAGCAAAAAACAAAAACTCAAAGCTGTTAATTTATATTTATATCACATATTTTTTTGCGCTTATAAAATTACGTTTGCTTGCTTTGCTTTGTAGACATCGAAAACAGGCAGAAATCTATGAGACCCGATTCCGGGGATGGATGAACCATCTACATACACAAATAAGTTTTTCAGTGCAAGATATCTACCCGCAGTTGTCTAGTTTTATCCATTTGTTTAACATTCATGTATTTTATGAGGCCAATCGCTGCTGCTTATTGTTATAAACAAAAGCAATAGGCCAGTCATACAGTTTGTAGAATCATGAACAGTTGAAAAAAATGTTCGTTTAGAGAAAACTCGTCCAGCCTTACATAGATCACGGCTATGACGAGCTCGCGGCCTTGCTTAGCTCGCGGCTTTGCACAGCCCTGATACAGATAAAGTTCACAACAGAACGAATTATATTCGGCTGGCAAGTTAAGACGTATCTTTCCGTCCTGTATACATCTAAGCAATAATTGTCAAAATAATCAATAGACCAACGCCATATTTACAATATAATAAGGAATAATATCATTGAGCTTTCAATTTACTGAGATCTAAATCTTTTTACTAAGTTTGGGATTCCCATCAACAAAACGAACGGGAGATGCCATAAAACGCACCCTCATTGTTTGCCATATACAAACACTGTAAGAGCTTCCTACTCTCCGCTTATAAAGGCCGAACTTATAAGGGAATTTCCACTTTATTTTCTATTTAAATTGTATTTTAAACTTCGTATAGAGCTCCTTTTAAATATAGACTCTGATTAAACATTTGTCTTCACAATTTAACGAATAAAATTTTTAGACACTTATATTTTGAGTATCTATACTATAAAAGTCAATGAATATGTTTTAAAAATACATGCTTTTGGGTCTTACCTTTTATGGTCTGTAATAATAATGATTGAATAACAATAACCCACTACGTGAGAGCTACGTGCTGATTATTTTAGGCAAAGGTCTGTGTTACAAATAAGGTATTCGCATATAATACTATAATATATAGTCCAAGATCCCAGGGCGTACGTCACTTATTTTCTGACAAACAAAAAGTGTAAAATTGAGTAGTGTTTGCATATACTATGATCGCATGCCTACGTGCTAGCTAAACCAGTGAGCCATTTTCCAGGTATCAGGTAATCAAGGTACTTCTTTAGGTCATATATTTTTATATTGCTCAGCTCACGTTTATTCTCCCAGCTGATTTTTACATATATGTCAGATTGTATCTTTAGAAATCTGTCATCAATACTCCAAGACACTTTCCGTCGGCAGTATCGCTTTGCAGACGCTGTAAAGCTTTTAAAAAAATTACTCAATTTGACAAATATTCTGAAGCTCCATTTTTATATATGTTAGACAAACAACTAATGTGTAATAAAACGTCTGCAAAGCGATACTGCCGACGGAAAGTATGTAGGAGTATTGATGACTGATCTTTAATGATATAATCTAACATACCTGCGTAAAAATCAGCTGGAAGAATTAAACGTGAGGAGAGCAATATTTTTACGTAGCTTGATTATCTGATACCTGGAAAATAGTCCACTGGCCCAGCTAGCAGGTAGGCATGCGATCATAGTTCATACTAACACTACTCAATCTTACACATTTCGTTCGTCAGAAAATAAGTGACGTCTGGTGGCCCTGGGATCTTGCTCAACAACATCAACATAATAGAATGGCTGCCGGTTACGTCGTATTATCACTAATACTAATCCAATTCGCTCATTGGTCATACCAATTTTAATAAATAAATGTTACAACCGCACTTTTATATAACATAAAATCAAACTTTATTCCAAGTCAATAAAGACGGATTTACAACGAATCTTTACAGACTTTTTTTTTGAAAAAAAAAGAGAAGAAATAACTGTGAGCAAAATTTTTAATTTTAAGACTTATGATCGATGTTCACGATCATCAAAAAGTGAAAAGAAATTGTTTAAATTTTAAAACATATTAATTTGTAAATAGTGTGCAAACTTCAATACATCTTGTATTGAAGAAGCGATCGAGCGTAACCAGGGCAGCAAAGTCTTTTCCAGAGATCTGTTTGCCAGTAAGAGCCAACTGTCAAAGCTGAAGACCAAATGTGGCAGCATCGTTTCCGGGACACCTGAGATTTTGAGTGAGATTGAGAGGTTCTATGGGCAGCTGTACAGGTCATCGTTGGAACCACACGCAAGTTAGTGTAACTAACCATCCAAGAGCGGGTCTTATCCGGCATTACTCCGATGATATCCTTGACGTCAGTCTGAGCGAGATTAGAATGGCTCTCCAGTACCTTAAAAACGGCAAGGCGCCGGGTGATGATGGAATTACAGCGGAGTTTCTGAAAGCGGATGGAAAATGGTATTTGAAGTGAATCTTTTTAATTCCGTCCTCCATGGTGGCACCTCCGGAGGCATGGTGTTGAAGTGCGGTGGTCTTGTTCTTCAAGAAAGTCGACAACGCTATCTTGAAGAAACATAGACCGATTTCCCTTCTGAACCGCGTCTACGTGCTGTTTTCGAGAGTCATTACGAATCGTCTCGCATGCAGAATCGATGACTTCCATCCTCTCGACCAAGCCGGTTTCCGAAAAGGCTTTAGTACCATAAACCACATACACACATTCGGCAGATTGTATAGAAGAGTACAATCTGCCACTTTGCCTTGCGTATGTGGACTATGAGAATGTTTTTGATTC